TTCATATGCATTGTTCACGTCGCACACACGTTCTCTAATCTCTCTCTCTCTCTCTCTCTCTCTCTCTCTCTCTCTCTCTCTCTCTCTCTCTCTCTCTCTCCAGATCTATCAGTAGTGACGGTAACGGTTGTAGCTCTGTGCATTAAGCCCTCGCTCGCTCTCGACTACCTCCTCTGAGCACCCACAATCTCACTCAATCATTCCTGCAATTAACTTCCTGCACCGCTCTCGTGAACGCACTCGGCGGACGGGATCGGGATGGACATGAAGGGATCCTGTTGACGGTTGGCAGAAGACAGCAGACGAGATGATCAAGACAAAGAGAGAAAGAGAGAGAAAAAGCGAGCGAGCGAGAGAGAGAGAGAGAGATTAAGAGAGAGAGAGAGAGAGAGAGAGAGAGAGAGAGAGGTGTTTGGGAAATCAAGAAGTAGTAGTAGTAGTAGTGTTTCTAACCTTGATTAATCATTAGAGCCCGAAGTGTGGCGCCGGCAAGAACGGAAATGGCGCGACGAGCACGTGTGCAATCGGAGGAGGAGGTAGTTTCACCTCCTCCTCCCAACGGTCTCCATCCCCTCTGTTACTCATTCTCCAATCACTTCTACTACTACTACTACTACTACCACCATCGCCGTCAATCTCTCCCACTGTCGCCGTGTTGCCATGAATGAGCGCGCGAACCTGGTCATCTCTCCGCATTGATGGTCGGATTCGATGTATGCCAACCACGTCTCTCAATCCAAATCCTAATCCCATCACAATCTTCCTGATTTTCTCCATGGCGGTGCTTTCTTCCTCGTCGATGAGGAGAAGACCATCCACCTTCTCCTCCTCCACCGTGGTCACCAGAGCCGCCGCCGTGTTCCTCTGCGGTACCCTGTGGACAATCATTGCAGTCATCAAGGCGGGAAGATAGACCAGGCTTGCGCGAAAGAGACCTCTGGCCGTCGTCGGGGTCGGGACCTTGTAGAACGACAACGCGGAGCCAATCAACCACCCCGCGAGCAAGGCATTCTCGTACACGAACCAGTTTGACGTCAAGCCTAATTCCATAGCTACATAACCGAGAGGGAGGAGATAAAGGGCATTGCGCAAGGCAGCGCCAGCTGTCCTCCTGCCCGTCTTATCGACCAAGGACATCATCTTGTACCCACCCCGAGCGTAATCAGCACGACATAGCCACGCAAGCGCCATGAAATGGGGGATTTGCCAGAGGTAGAGCGCCGCCGCGAGGACCGCGGCGGAAGACCAATCAAGCTCCCCCCCTCCCCCCTTGGCCGCGGACCAACCCATCAAGGGGGGGATTCCCCCGACGACGGCCCCTACCCAGGTGTTGCAGACATGGAGTTGCTTGAGAGGGGTGTACACGAGAGTGTACAGCGCGATGTTCCCCGCGCCCATGGCCGCTGTCAATCCGTCGGTCTTCCACGCTAGCACACCCACGCCGGCTAATCCCATCAACGTTGCAAAAGCGATGGCGTGGCCCATCCCTATCCTGCCAGATGGCAGAGGCCGCCGCATTGTCCTCTTCATGGAGGCATCATTAACCACTTCCATTGCTTGATTGAAAGCATTGGCTGAGGAGGCGGCCATCATCGTCCCGATCGAGGTCCACATCAGTCCCGACCAATCAATCACCTCCCCGCTCGCCATCACGTATCCTGCTCCAGCCGTCGTCACAACCAACAGACTCAATCGCGCTTTAGATAACTCATAGTAGCATCGACCATAGTGCCGCGAAAGTTCGGCGAAACTTCCCTGCTTCATCGCCTGCATCACCTTCATTCCCGCCGTCGCCTCCCCCGCCGCCGCCACGCTGGCAGAATGGCTGCCAGCGTGGATTGCTGCTGACGTGGCACCACGCAGCGCGCCCATGACAGCAATTGCAGAGGTCAACGAGGAGGAGGAGGAGGAGGAGGAAGAGGAGGTGAAGGAAGTCGCTACTCGGCGAAGCGGCATCGACAGCGCGCTCATCACCCCTCCTCGTCCCTTGCTCAGGCTTCCCTCCCCGACCCAACCACCTCTTCCTCCTCCTCCTTCTCCTCCTCCTCCACTTCCTCCTCCTCTCCTTGATCCCACACTAAGTATCCCTCCTCTTCCTCCTACCCTTGCGGCAGTCTTCAGCGCAACATCACGGGCTGTGGAAGACGACGGCAAGAAGGAAGATGACCTACAAAATGACGACGATAGCAGCGACGGCGTCAGCGCAGATCTCCTCACCATAGCCATCGCCATAGCCATCGTCGTCCTCGCTTGACAGCCTGTCATCTCGGCAATGGAGGATGAAGGAGTAGGAGGTGGGGATACGCGCCACCCAACGGCACCTTCTTGGTCGGCAATGGATCTCGCGCGCGACCACGCAGGTCGCGCCACGTGTTGATTTGCTGTCAAGTTCTGCTGCTGACGTGGCAATGAGAAGACGAAGCGGCCAGCGTTTGCCCACGAGCAAGCCAAACGCGAAGACCACGAGATGGGCGCCAGGGTTGCGCCGGCGGCGGCGGCGGAACCGACGGTGGAAGCGGCGGAAGCGGCGGCGGAAGCGACGGCGCCTCCGCCGACGCCGCCACGTGTCGAACTCCGCGCCTGCCGGAGCAGGCGGACCGCCCCCCCGGCCATGTCAGCAGCACCCTCCCCCCTCAGTCAACGTAATTACCAATCAAACCGAAAAAAAAAAGTCATTCGATTAACGACAGATAATAATAACCACTCGTTAAGAAAAAAAATACCTCCGATGATGATGATAACCATCGACCCTTCCCTGCCCAAGGAGAGGACACACTCTTTCTCTTCTTTATTCTCTCATCGCTACTGTAGGAGTTTTCCTACTCGGCTCTGGACGTAATTGCGGTCGGATGCACTCAACTGGACCGGAATTGCGGTCAGATTCATCCAGAAAAGTCCTACCCCTCTTCCCCCGAACATAACGCACGTGTTGTAAACGAATACAAACCTGTCGGCTGCTCTTCTACTCGCATACAACGTGCGCGCGTTCTAATCGAACAACTCGCTGTCTTTTTCCAAAAAAAAAAAAAAACACGTCTTTTTCGAATACAGCGCAGGCGCGTTAATTCGAATTTTCGGAGTTTTTCAAGAACTCGAATACAACGCATGCGCGTTATGTTCAGGTGAGTACGCCGCACAGATAGATGAAAAAGAGATCGGAGTCTGTGTGGTGGACGCGGGGAAAAAAAAAAGACAAAATAGGAAAGAAGGAAAGGGAGCAAAACAAGGAAACAAAGGGGAAAAAAGGAGAAAAGGGCGACTGACGTGGCGTAAAAAGATTCTCCCGCCCAAGTGCCACGTCAGTGTCCAATGATCTTTTCTTTTTGTTTTTGTCAGTGTCCAATGATGATCAAGCCGCCGCTTCACAGTTCATGGGTGTAGAACTGCGCAAACAAGAAAACGTGGTGCATCTTCTTTTTTTTTTTTTTCACAGAAACACTTGCTCCTTTCTATTCGTGGGGTGGTGCATCTTCTAATGAGCTGAGAGGTGGACCCCACTGCTTTGGGGCAAAGCTTCGGAAGACGATTTGTGAACGATACAGAGAAGGGTAGATTAGCATGGCCCCTGCGCTTTCAAGGATGACACGCATAAATCGAGAAATGGTCCAAATAAAAAAAATAATAAATAATAAAAAAACACAGCTTTGCCACAAAGCTTTGGAAAACGCTCAGATATGACGTGGCAGACGTTTTCACTCAGTTCTGTTTTGCCCGTTCCCTGCCGTTCGGCCATTCTGAGGGAGTAGGGGGGGGCCACCTCCCTCGGTTTGGCCATCCCTTGTGGAAAGGAGAGCCAGGGATTGGGTGAGAACCGAGACAAGCGGAAGTGAAGTTTCCATATAGGGAAAGTTTTTCCTACCCAATTTGGCCCAACGACGACTGCCATTGATAAATCTGATCGGCGGCCGTCATTTCGTTTCGGCCTCTGAAAAGGTCGGATGCCTACCCGAGGCCCGCTATTTTCCCAAGCGGCAAAGGTACTAGTGGTTTAAAGTAAGCTATTTTTCTTCTCTCATCTATCTCATATTCTTCGTCTTTTCTTTGTAGTACTCATCTATCTCATCCTCTCACTAGTCTATTTACGGGGTAGGTTTGCACCACAGCTGTGGTGCGAGAGCAAGGCTGTGCTGCAGTGGGGTCTGCTTTTCTCTTTCCCACCGCAAGGGCCTTCGATTTGTGTTTGGCGGAAGCTTTCCGCCTGGAAAGCTTCGGCCCGGCAGTGGGGTCCACCTCTGATACTCGCGGGTGCATCTCGCGGGTTTCTAGGGGAAGATGCACTGGCTCATTTTTCCATGTTCGTTTCTTTCTGTATTTTTTCGGAAAGGGATAATTTGCAAAACACCCCCATAAGTTGAGATGTATGCCAAATGCCCCTAAATAAAGTGGAATGCCCCTCTGACAGAAAAAAAAAAATAATTACAAAAAATGAAATACTCCTGGGGCACGGTTCCACTAGCAAAGGAGTAAGGTAAACCGTGTCCCACAAACACCTTTGGGACATCTGCGGGACATCATCCGACCACTGATGCAGGAGAATAGGATGGCAGCAAAATTGCGAGGGATTTATATTCTGAAGTGGCG